TATAAAATATAAAATACTATAAAATATAAAATACTATAAAATATAAAATACTATAAAATAATATAAAATAATATAAAATAATATAAAATATAAAATATAAAATACTATAAAATACTATAAAATATAAAATACTATAAAATACTATAAAATAAAAAATAATATAATATAAAATAATAAATATAAAATAATATAAAATATAAAATACTATAAAATATAAAATAAAAAATAATATAAAATAATATAAAATATAAAATAAAATAAAAACAAAATCTTAAACCTGTATTAACAAAATTTGTGTGTTTTCAGATGTTAGGCGGGAGCAAAATAAATGACAGCCGTTTCTCGATGTGCGACCACAAGAGAGCCCAACAGTTCTATTGCTAAACAAGACAGTTGGTATGTGAGTTTGCCCCCATTTTAGGACCTTTCTTGCTACCGTTGTTAAGAGAATCACTGCAGTTGTTAAGCTAGCCACAGGGTTGTTAAAGTGAATCTGGCTTTCTCTGTTGACTCTGGTTGTTAGAAGGTCACAAAAGGGGATCAAATGAACCCCGGGGACATTGCAACCGTCATAAGTATGAGTCAGTGGTCAAGCCTCTGAGTTTGGGTCACGTGACCCATGGGGATGGTGCAACGGTCGCTAAGTGTGAAAAACGGTCATCGGTCACCTTTTTTTAAAGTGCTGTTTTGACTTCAAACGGTCACTAAAAAGGGATGGTCCTATGGCGAGGACTACCGGTAACAATATTTGGATGCCCATCACAAAAGTCAAACCTTAAAATGGTGTTAACAAAACCTCCCTCTTTCTCACGTGCTGTACCGAAGCAAAGGAATGGTTTCATCTTGTGATTCATGGTTTATTGATTGAATTTACTTAGCAAATGGCTCTGACTCACCAAACGTGTCACAACAGACCCGCAACAGGTGTCATCAAGGAGAGAGATTCAACTTGGAAACAAGGAGGAATTTTCTGACAGTGAGAGCCATCAACTGATGGAACAGAAGTTGCCCTCGGAAGTTGTGGGAGCTTCATCCCTGGAGGCTTTCAAGAAGCGATTGGACTCCCATCTGTCAGAAATGGTGTAGGGTCTCCTGCTTGGGCGGGGGGGGGTTGGACTAGATGACCTACAAGGTCCCTTCCAACTCTCTTATTCTGTATCAATCTATCTACATTTATCTATCCACCTCTATCTATCTGTCTCTCTATCCATCTGTATTTCTATCTACAGTATATTTATCTATCCACCTCTATCTGTTGTCTATCTCTTTCATTTATCTATCTGTCTGTCCATCCATCCATCCATCCATCCATCTATATCATTTATCAATCAATCCATCCATTCATCTATCTATTTCTACCTATATTTATCTATCCACCTCGGTCTATCTCTACAATTTATCCATCTATCTATTTCTACCTACATTTATCTATCCACCTCTGTCTATCTGTCTCTATCATCTATCATCCATCCATCCATCCATCCATCCATCCATCCATCCAATATGTCTGAAGAACAGTTGTAAGAACTGGGCCTGGCTAGTCTAATGAAGAGAAGGACCAGGGGAGACAAGATAGCAGTCTTCCAATATTTGAGGGGCTGCCACAGAGAGGAGGAAGGGGTCAAGCTATTTTCTAAAGCACCCGAAGGCCAGACAAGAAATAATGGATGGAAACTGAACAAGGAGAGATTCAACCTGGAAATAAGGAGGAATTTTTTGACAGAACAATCAACCCATGGAACAGAAGTTGCTTTCGGAAGTTGTGGGAGCTTCATCCCTGGAAGCTTTCAAGAAAAGACTGGACATCCATCGGTCAGAAATGGTTTAGGATAATCCTGCTGGAGCGGGGGGTTGGACTAGATGACCCACAAAGTCCCTTCCACCTCTGTTAGTCTGTTATCTTTGTCCTAAACTAACCAACCTAACCAATGCAAAGTGGAACCCTAATCTTCATTCAGATTTCATTATCAGCATTAAAGATTTGACCAGTTTTTCTCCAGAACATCAGACCAGGACGCTAATCAGGACAGTGAATGAATTGGCTCCCATTAATTCAATTTGCCTTCCACACCCAGCCTGCGTTGCCTTCGGTTGCATTCCTCTAGACTGAGCAAGCTAAGATGTCATATTTGTCCGTCTATCTTTCTGAAACTTTATCCCACAAGTTTGATTGACAGGTGGATTACATTTTGTATGGGTTTGTAAACAGAGGGACCACAGAGCTGAACACGAATATCCATAGTAACATAAATATAGACAGATCACTAGGAGGCACAATAACACGAGGCGTTTTTTGTTATTACTGCAATTTATCAGACATACGTAAACGGAAGCTATTCTATACAGGTAATTCTCGACTTATGACAATTCTTTTCGATAACAGATAATCAGAGTTGGAAGGGACCTTGTAGGTCATCTAGTCCAACCTCCCACCTATGATGACCCGGGGCGTGACACAAAAATAACAAAGTCACAAAAGTAGAATAAATTTCCTTTAATGCCTCCAACTTGGCCCCAATGTTTGATTATCCTCGGCTGGATAACAAACTCTTCCAAAAATAGTCTACAAAGGGCAGAAATGCAGTCCGAACTCAAAGTAAAGATAATTAGAAATTTAAAAAACCAACACAAACCACACCGAAGGAATTAACATGGCAGGCCAGAATGATAAATTGCAGACTTTCAAAGGATAATGCAGCACCCGTGGTTGAGAGGACGCCAAAACCTAGATAAGCCCCGACCAAGATAATGCACGCTTTGCTTCCAGCAAGGAGCCGTGTGCAAACACCCCACTTATATCTTGTTCTCCCAGCTGCAGCCCATGAAGGGGATCAGGGCCCTTTCCTCTCCCATAAGCCACATTGCTCCCTTCTCCGTTCCTCCCTGCGCACCCTAGGATGAAGAGAGGGTGGCCCTGGGTCTTCCTCTGAATGCCCAGCCAGACTGGGGCCTTCCCCCGTTTCTTCCACAGCCATCGGAGGTACATTCCCACTCCCTGTCAGCTGCTCAATCTCCCCCTCAGAATCAGACTCCAACAAGGGCATAACACCGCCCAAGAAGGAGACCCTACACCATTTCTGACAGATGGGAGTCCAATCTCGAAAGTCTCAAGTGATGACGCTCCCATAACTTCCGAGGGCAACTTCTGTTCCGTTGATTGATTGTTCTCACTGTCAGAAAGTTTCTCCTTATTTCCAGGTTGAATCTCTCTCCTTGTTCAGTTTCCATCCATTATTCCTTGTCTGGCCTTCAAAGGTGCTTTGGAGAATAGCTTGACCCCTTCCTCCTCTCTATGGCAGCCCCTCAAATATTGAAAGATGCTCTCCTGTCTCCCCTGGTCCTTCTCTTCCCTAGACTAGCCAGGCCCAGTTCCTGCAACCATTCATCGTATATTTTAGTTTCCAGTCCCCTAATCATCCTGGTTGCTCTTCTTTGCACTTTTTCTAGAGTCTCAACATCTTTTTTATAGTGTGGTGACCAAAACTGGATGCAGTACTCTAGGTGTGGCCTTACTAGGGCTTTACAAAGTAGTATTAGTACCTCTCTTGATCTTGATTGTATCCTTATGTTAATGCAACTTAGGACTGCATTGGCTTTTTTGGCTGCTGCTGCACACGGCTGGCTCCTATTTAGCTGGTTGTCCACTAAGACTCCCAAGATCCAAAATTTAGGGACTACTCGAAGTTACAATGGCAGTGAAAAAACCAACTTATGACTGGGGGGTCAGCAGTTGGACTAGATGACCCACAAGGTCCCTTCCAACACTGTTATTCGAAACTGTTTTTCCACACTTACAGCCATGGTTGCAGCCTCCCCACATGGTCAAAATTCCGACCTGTGGCAACTTGACTCATATTTATGACAGTAGGCGTGTTACGTGACCCCCTTTTGCGACCTAAGTCAAGAGGGAAGCCAGATTCACTTAACAACCGTGTGACTCATTTAACAACGGCAGCGATTCCCCTGAACTGCTGTGGCAAGAAAGGCGGGGCAAAATTCACCTTCAAAGCTGCCTCACTTAACGACAAAAATGTTGGGCTCAATAGTGATTGTGTGTCGAGGACTTCCTGTACTCTAAATCAGGAGTCTCCAACCTTGGCCACTTGAAGACTTGGGGACTTCAACTCCCAGAATTCCTCAGCCGGCTGGCTGAGGAATTCTGGGAGTTGAAGTCCCCAAGCCTTAAAGTGGCCAAGGTTGGAGACCCCTGCTCTAAATCCAATCATTGCTTCTTTTTCTCACCAGAAAGGAGCATTTTTAACTGATTCAAAGGGGGAAAAGAGGAACGGTGCTGCCCCCTAGTGAGAAATAAGTATGTGCGCACCTTGTTTTGTGATTGCAGGTGGTCAAAGTGCTTGTGAAATGAAAGCGCCCGATTTTTAGGAGATTGTTTTGCCACACTGGTTAAGACAAGTCCATCAGTGCACTGGTTAAGTGAATCGCATAGTTCGTAAGCAAATCCGGCTTTCTCCATTGAAATTGGCTGGTCCGGAGCCAGCTGGGGAGGTTACAAATTGTGACCCTAGAAAGGGGGGGGGAGAGGGAGGGAGGGAGGGAGGGAGGGAGGAAGGAAGGAAGGAAGGAAGGAAGGAAGGAAGGAAGGAAGGAAAAAGTTTGAGAGAGGGAGGGAGGAAGGAAGGAAAAAAGAAAGTTTGTGGGAGGGAGGAAGACAGGTTAGAGAGAGAGGTGGTTGGAGGGATGAAAGGAAAGAAAAGGGAAAGGAAGGGAAGGAAGAAAGAAAGAGAGAAAGAGGAAAAGAGAGAGAGATGATAGATAGATAGATAGATAGATAGATAGATAGATAGATAGATAGATAGATAGATAGACAGACAGATAGGAAGGAAGGAAGGAAAAGAAAGGAAAAACAGAAAGAAAGAAAGAAAGAAAGAAAGAAAGAAAGAAAGAAAGAAAGAAAGAAAGAAAGAAAGAAAGAAAGAAAGAAAGAAAGAAAGAAAGAAAGAAGGAAGGAAGGAAGGAAGGAAGGAAGGAAGGAAGGAAGGAAGGAAAGGAAAGGAAAGAAGAGAAAGAAAGAAAAAAGGAAGTTAGAGGGAGGGAAGGAGGGAGGGTAGAGAGAAAGATGGTTGGAGGGATGAAAGGAAGGAAAAGGGGGAAGGATGGGAGAGAAGAAAGAAAGAAAGAAAGAAAGAAAGAAAGAAAGAAAGAAAGAAAG